ATAGGGCTTGGTTGATTTTTTGCCACTGGCCAAGGAAGCTCGGGACAGCTCGGGCAAATCGATCAAGGGTCTTGAGAGCACCATCGGCTATCTGCAGGATAAAAATTCAACCCTCCTGCAGCATAATGCCAAACTCCGCGAGACGCAAACAGAACAGAAGACTGAGTTCGACGTCAAGATTAGATCTCTCGACGAAGAGCTCAGTAATAAAGGAAAGGCTCTTGCTGAGAGAGATGCTGCTCTCACGGCCAAGGAAGCCGTAGTGGCGGAAAAAGAGGCCGCCCTGAAAGAAAGGGAGGCTCTACTGGAGCAAGAACGGATTGCTCGAGCTAGAGCAGAAAAGGCTCGTGCTGAGGCCGAACATGCCCGAGCGGAGGAGGAGAAGGCTCGAGCTGAAGCAGATAAGGCTCGGGCAGATCTGGAGGCCCTTGTGGCCAAAGAGCGGGCTGCCTATGCCGACGAGAAGCAACGCTATGCAAATGCCACTGCTCTTCGAGCAAGGCAGATGCTCTGGGCGACCACAACGGGGCAGCTCTTCCTCCGTGAGCATCGCGCACAAGTGGTGGCTGACTTCATGCAGTCGCCGCAGTATCTGAAGGAGTTGCAGGATTTCGGGGTGGACTGCTTTCAGTTTGCCCTACAAAAGGCCGGGGAGCAGATCGCTGAGGACGATTTCGAGCAGCTCGACGCCGTGGCTATTTGGGATGCTTTGCCCAAAGTGCCCTCGAGCTTCTGCGGGGACCCTTCCCTGCCACTCGAGCATGAATGGTGGTCAGGGCAACTCGAGAGAACCTTGTCTCGATCGGATGTGCTAAAGAAAATATTTGCTTTGCCCGATGACGTTGTTCCTCCGACTTCTATGTTGATCGCAACGACTGAGTCTATCAAACGACGCCCACTTAATGAAGCCTGCGACTCGACCTCTGGAACCAGTCACCATCCCGATCCTAATGCCAGCTCGAGCAATGCTGACTCCGTTGCTGCTCCTCCATCTTAGCGTTGTATTTTTCACTTTATCTTTCTCGAATTCAAACTATGTACTTTAATGGGCTTTGTAATTATCTCGAAATAGAAATGTTTTGTTTTTAACTTGTTTTGATCTTCAATAATGCTTATTGGTGATTCTGACTTGATATCTTCATTAATGCACCTTGCGAC